ACAGCCTCAGACACACGCCGTCACAGAGCTACAGGAAAAATCTTACACCGAGGAGTTTTAAAAATTCGTTTCTTTAAGGTGTGTGTGTGTGTGTGTGTGTGTGTGTGTGTGTGTGTGTGTGTGTGTGTGTGTGTGTGTGTGTGTAAAGAGATGACACTCACCTGCCTCTTGTCCCAGCTGACCTGTTTAAAGTGAGCATCAGTGATAGAGGTGGTGTGGTGTGGTGTGGCGTGGTGTGGTGGTGTGGTGTGGGCGTCATGACGGCCAGCTGAGGAAGAAGAAAAACTGTAGACGAATGAGGGAAAACGATGAAGAGTTGAGAATGGAAAGAAAATTCACAAAAGGAGATAAAACTGAGATTATTTTTTGCCGGAGAAAATATAACAGATATATAAAGTTATTAACTTATTTATGGGAGCCACTGAGCGAGTGTTGCCGACTGTGTGTACAACAGGAAGGTATAAAGGGTGGCGCACGTGCATGAGAGGAACACAGTCGAGTGTTGTTGTGTCGAGAATTAAAGGGGTCATGTTGTCTGCAACCCGGACCTGGCCAGCAGCAACAGCAGCTCTCAGGGGACATGACTTCGCTCACTTCTCTAACAAGACTTGACTCTCTTGGGCCCCTGTTGTCTGCGCCCCGGCCTGGCCAGCTGCAGCGCCCCTCGGAGGACGCTCATCCTCCTAAGTTCAACATCAATATGACTTCGCTCACGTCTAATTGGTTTGTTGAGGAGACGAGACGAGCATAAGTACAGGAAACAATAGGAACTCTGAATGGGTATTAGGAGTTGTCGTGGCGAGGGTTTTCATTGGTGAGATGGGAATCTGTTTAATGATTGGGTGGTTGGTTGATGAGGCCATGGGGGGAGGGGGGGGGGACAGCATGCTTACTTTCCGCGTCCTGATTGGTGGGTTGGAGTTGTTGGTCCGTCGTGAGTGGAGGAGAGTCTTTGCCTCTCTCATTATGTGCTGGAAGTGTCTGGCTGTTGACAGAGAAATCAAGTCCTCAGCGTCCCCAAATTCCTGACTGTGAGGGGGGCACACCTGCAGCCTCTACCTGTCTATTAACATTGTAAGTCGCCCGGCGTTATTCGAGAACTAACAGAGCTAAAACGTTCACAATTGGTAGATAAATTCACCATAACGACCCTCCCTAAAAGCCGCCATGTTTTTAGGGCGAAAAGGCTAGTGGTCTGGATAATAGTTGTGCAAAAACTCCGCCTCCCGTGTGTGAGTTGGCGTGACCTGTCAAGTGCAGCAGAGTTGTTTATCAAGAACTGATCTAACCTAAAGAGATTTTATATTATGGTTAGGGATTAAGAGTAAGCGAGTCCTGGGAATCCTTCACTTATTATTACAGTCGAAATTATGTACAATAACTCAAAAAACTATCTGTACTTGGGGTGATCAATGAATTTCAGAATGAACACTGTGACTCCTGTTGTCTCGGTAGGGTTGTCAAAATCTTTCGTCTGTTGTCATATTTTTTCAACACAATTTTATATAGATAGTTTTTTAAGTGACTGTAACACTTTAAACTCGTGGACAGACTCACAGAACCTACATTTCCAGGTTCCTATCAACATGGTCCCTTGGATATAGCGTAGCCTAGTCCTCGAGATATTGACCGAGTCTTAAAAATACGAAGACGTTGTCGAGAAGCCACAGGCAGGGAGGATCCTAGGCTGGCATCGCACACATACGCTGTCAGAAAGTTGAGAGCCGATTCTTGTTGGGGAGGGAATGTGTGTGTGTTGGTGTGATGACACAAAGACGGCAGCGAAGAAGAACCTGGCCTCCACCTGACACATGTGACCTCTTGGCCTCCTTCCCTACCTCCCCTCCCTCCTTCTCTCTAATTCACTTGTTTGCCTCCCTCTTTCTCTCCTTACCTCCCTCTCCGTTTCTCTTTCCATCCCTCCCTCTCTTTCCACCCTTCCTCTTCCCTCCCGCCCTCCCTCATTCCTCCTCCACATACTTAAACCCTGGCCAAGAATTCAGGAGAATCTCAAGGGCGGATACAGGATTTTTGAAGGAAGGTCTGGGGGAAATTACCAAATCTCCCCCACCATATAGGGACTAATGAGTGTTTAGGGAACGTATTTACCACCAATATCTAGATCATTAAGGCGCCAGACAGGTGTTTTCATCAGGTGTTTTGTATTCCGTCTAGTCACTGTCAGAAAGATATGGTATTATTTTTAACATAGGACAGTACTCTTTTCCTTCGGCTATGTTGAACAGGACGCTGAATCCCTCCTTCTTTGGGCGTCATAGTGAAAGTTTGTTGACCTAACCTGACCTGACCTGACCTAACCTAACCTAACCTAACCTATTACTGAACTCAAGAGCTCATTCTATGCACTTGGCCGCCGTTGAGGAGAGTGATTAACTTAAGGCAGCGGTTCAGAGTTAATCCTGCAGCTGAACTGTGGTTGGTGGCGAGTGTAATGATCCTCTGTCATAATGGACCCCAGTCATAATGGGCCTTAGTCATAATGGACCCCAGTTAAGATGGACCCCAGTCATAATGGACCCGTCTTAATGGACCCCAATTATAATGGGCCCCAATCATAATGGACCCCAGTCATAATGGGCCCCAGTCTTAATGAACCCCAGTGGTAATGGACCCCATAATTAAGGGGCCGGATTGATTGGGGCCTTTCAGGTCATGGCCCACTTGAATTAGGCCCTAATGGTTTGGTTAGGTTATGTTTGCTGAAATTTGATGAGATTAGATTAGATTAGAGCCCAGGAGAACAAGAGCCTATGTACACATCACATACTCACGGGCACATCCCAAAGCTCACGAACACATCACTCACACGAACACATCCCAACAAACTCAGGAACACTTCTTAATTCCACGAACACATACCGACCTCACGAACACATCCCAACAAACTCAGGAACACTTCTTAATTCCACGAACACATACCGACCTCACGAGCACATCCCAGTCCCACGAACCAACACTAATCATAGGGATACATATAGATTGCACAAAATGGTTCTTCGTTTTGTACATCAATGACGGACTCTACGTGTTGGGAGTATTTCTACGAAGATTATCGACCTGGACGTTGGAGGGAGGGAGGGTGGGTGGGTGGGGGAAAGAGGGTGGGGGAGAGGGAGAGGGTGGTAGGGAGGGTGGGGGAGAGGGAGGGAGTAATATCCAGGACTTCCCACTTACCTCCCTCCCTCCCTTTCTCCCTCCCCTCCTTCCCTACTCACACCGTCACGCAAAGTTTCACCATCTTTCCTGTTAATGGAGTAACGTCTTGTTTCTTCTTTCACACGTAGAGAGAGAGAGAGAGAGAGAGAGAGAGAGAGAGAGAGAGAGAGAGAGAGAGAGAGAGAGCAGCATTACTAATGACCAGTGACCTTTGTTGACTCTATGGCAGGCCTTTCACGACCTATCTGGTACTGACTCGAGGTAGCTGGTGCTAGATAGGCCCCTCTAGTCCCATTGGGCCCCACCACTAGGCCTCACCACTACCCCTCCTGACGCCACCTAACCATAAGAGTCAGTAACATCAGTCCTAATGCGGTCTGGTCCTAATGGTTGGGTTAGTCTGTGTCTGTCTGTCTATCTATCTATCTATCTATCTATCTATCTATCTATCTATCTATCTATCTATCTATCTATCTATCTATTTATCTATTATCTATCTATCTTCACGTCTAGAGGAAGGACATGACACATGGGAGAATGATGCGCACATGAAGGAAGAGGAGTGTGTGTGTGTGTGTGTGTGTGTGTGTGTGTGTGTATGTATGTGATGTAGGAGGCGTGTGGGCGTGGTGTGATGAAGAAGGCGTGTGGGTGTGGTGTGATGAGTGAGGCGTGTGGGCGTGGGATGAGGCAGGAGGCGTGTGAGTGTCTAGACTTGGTGTCACGGGTTCCTGGAAGAGACAAGTCATCGAAAATAATCATCTTACTAACAGTGTGGGTGGTGAAACAGTCACCAGGCGTGTGTGGGTGGTGAAAAACAGTCACCAGGCGTGTGTGGGTGGTGAAACAGTCACCAGGCGTGTGTGGGTGGTGAAACAGTCACTAGGCGTGTGTGGGTGGTGAATAACACGCGCGCACACACACACACACCACAAAGTTTGAAGATAGTGAATGAAGTAGAAAAGGTCAAGGCTGTATAGTGTCCAAGTTAACGGGGGTAGCTAGATCTCATTCACCTTCTGGTTGATCGACGATGATGATGATGATGATGATGATGATGATGACGTAGACACATATACGCGCACCCACATATGCCCACGCGTGTATGGCCGTGTGCGTGTGTGTGTGTGTGTGTGTGTGTGTGTGTGTGTGTGTAGGGCAGTAATGGAGGGATATAGTGTAAGAAGGAAGGGATTTGGGGGAGACAGAAGGGAGGGCGTGGGGAGGGGTGGGTTAAGGGCGAGGGTGGAATAAGTCAAGTGAGAGAGGAGAGGGAGGGATGAAGTGGGGAAGAGAGGGAGGGATGTTGAGGGGAGAAGAGGATGGTAAGGTGAGTGGAGCGTATCCTGACCATCTCTTGACAGTTCCTGCCATCACACACACACACACACACGGGTCCATAGGTCGGCTGGCCAAATGTTTTTCATTCAGTATGCGTATGAATCAATAGCTATAGTCCAGGTTGCATGTGGGGAGCTCCTAGCGCCAGCCTGGGAGAGGGAGCCTCGCTGTAAAAGATTTCTCCCTCTACCTTCCCTGTCTTGAGTTGTGAGTGAGCTTAGGGCGCCCGCGGGATGATCTGGTTGGAAGATGAGTGATGTAGAAATATTTTTTTGATGTAGAGAATAATTAAATCTTTCTCAGTAAGGACAAAGAAAGAGTGATGGGAGAGCTGTATGAGAGAGAGAGCTGGGAGTGTGTGTGTGTGTGTGTGTGTGGTGTGTGTGTGGCGGCGAGTTGGCAACTGCTGGCAACTATGGGCCCCTCCCACCCGGCAGGCAGGCTGGCTGGCTGGCTGGCCGACCCACAACCACTACAGCGCGAGCAACCACTAGCACCACCTCTCTCCTCCTATACCACAGTCCTCCTCCACCACATATTTTTTGTATCGAAAAAGAGGAGCCACGCCCACCGCTTGAACCAGAAACAAAAATATATCATCCATAGCGTGCAGAGATGAGGAGATCCCGTAGGTGAAGTTAACGAGGGAAGGAGGGAAGGAGGAAAAAAATCATTACTAACTGAGAGCCTTAAAACGTGAACCAGAGAGTGACCCAGTGATGTGTTGTGATGTGTTGTGAAGACCATTATTGTTCCCTTGACCTCAACACTTCAACCTGCTGTACCGGAGGAAAATAATACATTGTGTTGAGTGTTGTAGTGTTAATGTGTGTGTGTGTGTGACCCTGACAGTGTGTTGATAACTGGTGGCGGTGTATCAGTGCCATCTAGTGGGTGGTTTCAGTGTCGTGTTGAGGTGAAACTGTGTTGGCGTGTGCCATAAACACAACTAGTGGCGGCCAGCCAGTTGTAAGGCTCAGCCACCACTGACAGTTGGCTGATGCGGCTAACCTAAACTAACCTGATTTTAGTTAACCAGAACTTTAATCTAACTAACGCAATCCTATTCTAAGTTAATTTGTCTAACTTAATTAAACCTAACCTTGTGTAAACCTACCCTATAACTACCCAGTTTAATCAATTTAAACGTAGCTTGATCTCACCTAACCTAGCCTAACCTAACCTAACCTCACCTCACCTCATGTTGTCGTGTAGCGGTCGGTTATTCACTGTCTGGGTACACTTGTGGTATCATAAGTTTCTGTCGTGGATGAGTAAGTAGTGTACGCTCGCACACACACACACACACACACACACACACAAACATACACACACACACACACACACATACACACACACACACACACACACACACACACACACACACATACTTTAAAATATGTACACATACGCACGCAACTAACATATTTCCAATACAACGTGACACATCTACAGTATATATATGGAGTAGAGTGAGTCATGTGTATACTAAGAAACGTGAAACTTGTATATGAAGCAACGTGACACATATATACATGGAAGAGCGTGACACGTGTACAAGATATATAACACGTGATCTTCAAGTTACTCGACACGTGTACTGGGAGCAATATGATACAGGTATACATATAAAGCTTGCCACGTGTGTCAAGAAGAGTGAAACGTGTGCATGAGGCAACTTGACAAGTGTACGCGAAGCAACGTGACACATACAGTATGAGATGGAGCACCGTATGTCGAGTACCTGGAGCAACGTATATATTTGACAAAACATTGACACGTGTACCTTACCCTCTGTACCGTATACATTGTCCTCTGTACCGTGTATCTTGATTACCTTATCCTAGTAACCATATATATATATATATATATATATAACAGTGCATCGTATGATAATTCATAAATACCAACTCATTGTTCCCTGTACCGTCACCCCTGTACCGTCACCTCTGTACCGTCCCCCTGTACCGTCACCCTGTACCGTCGCCCTGTACCGTCACCCCTGTACCGTCACCCTGTACCGTCACCCCTGTACCGTCACCCTGTACCGTCACCCTGTACCGTCCCCTGTACCGTCGCCCTGTACCGTCGCCCTGTACCGTCACCCCCTCACCCATCACCCCTGTACCGTCACCCCTGTACCGTCACCCCTGTACCGTCGCCCCTGTACCGTCACCCCTGTACCGTCACCCCTGTGCCGTCACCCTGTACCGTCACCCCTGTACCATCACCTGTACCGTCACCTGTGCCGTCACCCCTGTACCGTCACCCCTGTACCGTCACCCTGTACCGTCACCATTGTACCGTAACCCCTGTACCGTCACCCTGTACCGTCGCCCCTGTACCGTCACCCCTGTACCGTCACCCTGTACCGTCACCCCTGTACCGTCGCCCCTGTACCGTCACCCTGTACCGTCACCCTGTACCGTCACCCCTGTACCGTCGCCCCTGTACCGTCGCCCCTGTACCGTCACCCCTGTACCGTCACCCCTGTACCGTCGCCCTGTACCGTCGCCCCTGTACCGTCGCCCCTGTACCGTCGCCCTGTACCGTCACCCCTGTACCGTCCACCCTGTACCGTCACCCCTGTACCGTCACCTGTACCGTCACCCCTGTACCGTAACCCTGTACCGTCACCCCTGTACCGTCACCCCTGTACCGTCACCCTGTACCGTCACCTGTACCGTAACCCCTGTACCGTCACCCTGTACCGTCGCCCCTGTACCGTAACCCTGTACCGTCAACCCTGTACCGTAACCCCTGTACCGTAACCCTGTACCGACGCCCCTGTACCGTAATCCTGTACCGTAACCCCTGTACCGTGACCCCTGTACCGTAACCCCTGTACCGTCACCCCTGTACCGTCGCCCTGTACCAATCCCCTGTCCGTAACCCCTGTACCATCTCCTATACCGTAACCCCTGTAGCGTCACCCTGTACCGTAACCCTGTACCGTAACCCCTGTACCGTCGCCCTGTACCGTAACCCCTGTACCGTAACCCTGTACCGTCACCCCTGCATCGTAGCCCCTGTACCGTAACCCTGTACCGTAACCCCTGTACCGTAACCCTGTACCGTAACCCTGTACCGTCACCCCCAGTGTAACCTCTGTACCGTCGCCCTGTACCGTCACCCCACCGTAACCTCTGTACCGTAACCCCTGTACCGTCACCCCTGTACCGTCACCCCTGTACCGTAACCCTGTACCGTCGCCCCTGTACCGTCACCCCTGTACCGTCACCCCTGTACCGTCACCCTGTACTGTAAACCCCTATACCGTAACCTACTGTAACCCTGTACCGTAACCCCTGTACTGTAACCCCTGTACCGTCACCCCCTGCATCGTGACCTTGTACCGTAACCCTGTACTGTAACCCTGTACCGTAACCTCTGTACTGTAACCCCGTACTGTCACCCTGTACCGTAACCTCTGTACCGTAACCCCTGTACCGTCACCCCTGTACCGTAACCCTGTACCGTCGCCCTGTACCGTCACCCTGTACTGTAACCTCTGTACCAACCCTGTACCGTCACCCCTGTACCGTAACCCTGTACCGTAACCCTGTACCGTACCCCTGTACCGTAACCTCTGTACTGTCGCCCCTGTACCGTCAAACCCTGTACCGTCACCCTACTGTCCCCTGTACCGTCACCCCTGTACCGTCAACTCTGTACCGTAACTTGTACCGTAACTGTACTGTCGCCCTGTACCGTCACCCCTGTACTGTAACCTCTGTATCAAACCCTACTGTCACCCCAGTCCGTCACCCTGTACCGTAACCCCTGTACTGTCACCCCTCTGTACTGTCACCCCTGTACTGTCATCACTCCCTGTACCGTCACCCCTGTACCGTCACCCCTGTACCGTAACCCCTGTACTGTCGCCCTGTACTGTCACTCCTGTAACGTAACCCCTGTACCGTAACCCCTGTACCGTCACCCTGTACCGTCACCTGTACTGTCACCCTGTACCGTCGCCCTGTACCGTAACCCCTGTACTGTCGCCCTGTACCGTCACCCCTGTACTGTAACCCGTGTACTGTAACCCTGTACCGTCACCCCTGTACCGTCGCCTGTACTGTCGCCCCTGTACCGTCACCCTGTACCGTAACCCCGTCTGTAACCCCAGTCTCGTCGCCCCTGTACCGTCGCCCTGTACCGTCACCCCGACCGTAACCCCTGTACCGTAACCCTGTACCGTCAACCCCTGTACCGTCACCCCTGTACCGTCACCCCACTGTCGCCCTGTACCAACCCTGTACTGTAACCCCTGTACTGTAACCCCTGTACCGTCGCCCCTGTACCGTAACCCCTGACTGTAACCCTGTACTGTCACCCTGTACCGTCGCCCTGTACCGTAACCCTGTACTGTAACCCTGTACCGTAACCCCCACTGTAACCCCTGTACTGTCGCCCTGTACCGTCATCCCCCTGTACCGTCGACCCTGTACCGTCACCCCTGTACCGTCGCCCCTGTACCGTCACCCCTGTACCGTCGCCCTGTACCGTAACCCTGTACCGTAACCCTGTACTCGTAACCCCTTGTACCGTAACACCTGTACCGTAACCCCTGTACCGTCACCCCTTTACTGTCACCCCTACTGTCGCCCCTGTACCGTAACCCTGTACTGTAACCCTGTAACAACCCCCTGACCAACCCTGTACCGTAACCCCTGTACTGTCACCCTGTACTGTCGCCCTGTACTGTCAATCCCTACTGTCGCCCTGTACCGTCGCCCCTGTTCCGTCACCCCTGTACCGTCGCCCCTGTACCGTAACCCCTGTACCGTAACCCCTGTACTGTAACCCCTGTACCAACCCCACTGTAACCCTGTACTGTCACCCCTGTACCGTAACCCCTGTACTGTAACCCCTGCACGTCGCCCTGTACTGTCGCCCTGTACCGTAACCCCTGTACTGTCGCCCTGTACCGTAACCCCTGTACCGTAACCCCTGCACTGTCGCCCCTGTACCGTCGCCCCTGTAACTACCCCTGCACCGTCGCCCTGTACTGTAACCCCTGTACTGTCGCCCTGTACCGTCACCCCTGTACCGTCGCCTGTACCGTAACCCCTGTACTGTAACCCCTGTACTGTCACCCCTGTACTGTCGCCCCTGTACTGTCGCCCTGTACCGTAACCCCTGTACTGTCAACCCCTGTACCGTCACCCCTGTACTGTAACCCTGTACCGTAACCCTTGTACAGTAACTCTGTACTGTAACCCCTGCACTGCACCCCGATCGACCCTGTACAGACCCTGTACTGTGACCCCTGCACTGTGACCCCTGCACTGTGACCCCTGACCTGACACCTGCACTGTGACCCTGTACCGTCACCCTGCACCGTGACCCCTGTACCAGACCTGTCAATCCTGTACAAACCCCTGCACCGCCCCTGTACCAACTTGCACTGACCTCTGTACTGACCTGTACCATTCTGTGTACCGTGACCCTGTACCGTGACCTCTGTACCATTACTTGTGTACCGTGACCCCTGTACCATTACTTGTGTACCGTGACCTCTGTACCGTGACCTCTGTACCATTACTTGTGTACCGTGACCTCTGTACCATTACTTGTGTACCGTAACCTCCGTACCGTGACTCCTGTACCGTGACCTCCGTACCTACAC